AGAACAACATGATGCCCTTTCCACTTCAACATATGAAAGTTAACATACTTGGACAGTGGCAATAAGAAAACTTTGACAATAGGGCAGAATCCACTGAAGGCAAAGGTTTAGATTGGGAATGCAGTACAGGCTACATACCATAGAATTCTTATTTCTAATATCTTTCTTCTACTACTCAGCTTCTGCAGCCTGAGGTAGCTACCATATTTTACCTAATGGTAGCGCGAGCCCATCTCTAGGCAAAATAAAGTGTATATCAAGAGTGGGAATCATGTGGCCCTCCAGATATTGTTGGACTGCAGCTCCCATAATCCTTTGCCATTGGATATGGTGGCTAAGGTTACCAAGATGTGTAGTCTAATAGCATCTGGATGGCCATAGGATTCCCACCCATGGTGTACAGCAAAATTAAGAAATATGCTTATCCAAGCTACGCAGTAGCCAGTACCAGTCAGCATACAGGACTTAGTAAAATGGTGCTTCAGCTCCTCCAAAACATAGTTCTTATATCATCAGTGACAAAATCTTAACTATCAGTGGAAGAAGAAAAAATGGAAGAATGTGTGAGCTATTCAAGTTAAAGCAACTTGTGGGTACTAAAATTAACAAATGCAAATAGGTTATTCTCACAAGGTTAAAACAGTTTCTTCCTTTGCACACATACAGGACAGTGTATGGAAATTTTAATGTTGTAGGCCGCCCCGATTGCTCTGCAGAGGGGCAGGATAATAATAATAATAATAATAATAATAATAATAATAATTGAAACTCAAACTTTTGTGGACCCTGGAGTTCTAAGTTCTCCCAAGTCCCTAAGCCCCTGATTTTTTTTAATTAGAAAGGTGTGCTTTTCAAGCAGTTTTGGCCTTATGCAGAAAGCCACCCCATGCATAAAAACATGTGAAATACCCCCCATTGCAGAAGCATTCCAGAACTCCATACTATCCCCCAAATACCTCCATTTTCTCTACAATCTCACTCATAAAAGCAATAGGAGGTGAGCCATCATAACCTCCTACCACCATTTTGAGAAAGACTGCAGATGAAAACAGAGGTATTGGGTTTGCTATGGGGAGGGTGCAGCCTTTGGAGAGATCATTGGGAAATGAAGCCTGTCCATGAGAAGTTGCTGGTCCCTGATTTATAGTATTGAGTAGACTATATTTGTAAGCAAGCTGAAGTTTCTCCTCACAGAAACCAACTGGAGCAATTATGACCCCACATTTGGACAATACCTTTCTTAGGCCAACAATAACAAAACACAATATTGTATGCAAGCTTTTGCTATCACTTCATCAAGTAAAAAGATAACTTGAAAAGTAGGAAGAAGAGAGAGGAGAAAGGGGTGAAAGCCAGACTTGAATTTAGAATCTAAGGTCTAAATCCAATTGTTAATCTCAACCAGAGTAGACTCACTGAAGCAATGGTAAACCACTACTTATTCACATTTCACTGATTTGATGGTTGGGGCTAATAGTTGGAATTAGGCTGGGATCATAATGTTCATAGTAAAATACAGTGGGGAAAGAGCTAGATAAATTCATGGAAAGAAATGTGTGATTCCCCACTGTGGTTCACTGTGGTCAAGAAAAGTTATACCTGACTTCTTCTAGAGCAGCATGAATTGCTACAGCAACTATTAAACTGTTAATGTGCAGAGGTAAGTGGAAAAGAAAGGCCAATTAATTTTTCTTTGCACTGACTTCCAAGATTTACTTTGTGTTTGGGTTGATGGATCTTCCAGATCAGATTGGCATTGATTCTAGAGCACATGGTTTTGATACCTGACATGAATCATGATTCCCCAGATGTGTGTTTTGGCAGAACAGCTGTATACAAATGCAGTGACTTAGTGGTTAAATAAATATGTATATACCCTACAACTTTCTCGTTGTTTGTGAACTAGATGGACTGGTCAATGAGAGTTGGTAACTGATGCTACAGGTTCCACCACCACCACCCGGAAGCTGGACTACCTTGCCTTCCATAATCATGATTCTATTTACACCATTTCCTTTTAGTAAATAATGGCTGGAATCACATTGGTGAATTATGATGGGCTTTGGACTTATGATTATAATGGACTTCATGATAGACTTTGGACTTAACACCATTGCAGCTCATTTTTTTGGTCATTATGCAGGCCAGAATTATGTTCCAACCACACAATAACCAAAATCTCCCCAGGGATCTACTTTGCAAACTGTTTAATCCCCTCCACATATAATGATTTCCATGTTGTTGGAGAACAGGGGGATATAATGATGAGTCCCACTCACCCAACTATTTTCCTATTGTGGCAGCACCATGGGCCCTTTTCATCCCACCACTGCCACCAATTTATGTGAAGAAGCCCTTCCTTCACCTTTTTCCTCAGTGGGGAGCCCTATGGGTAATGTGATCCCACCACTGCCCTCATCTTGGTTTCTTTATTTCTTAGTAGCATGGATAATAATTCCAGGTCTAACAAGCTTATAAGTGAACAACAATAAAACTTTATTTGAATGATATTAACAATGTTTCATTTGTTAGTATGCTGCATTCTCTTGTTATATTTGTTACATACTATTTAACTCTAAAGAATAACAGTTACTAGTCTTTAGGACTCTCACACCATCCTTATTTACTGTGGTCTTTCCAACCTTATTTCTACATGAGTCCTCAGGCTAACTATGGGCTATACAGATGGGCAAAAAGAGGTGCTTTCAGGCTGACTTGAAGGCATGGCATTTAGACAATGCACACCTAAAAGCCAACAGGAAAGCATCCTCTAGGCGTGGTATGCCAGAAAAAGCCACTCCAAAAAGGAGTTGCTTTTTCCACTTCTTCCAGAAAGATGTGCACCTTCACATGTGCGTTTGTATGCAGCGACACTGCTGCATCAGAAAAAGGGCACTGGAGATCTAAAACAGCTGTATAAATGCACCGTCGCACCTGCAGTGGAAATTGAGTCAACAATCCAGAGCATGCACTCTACAATGCAGGATTTAATTTAAAGCGCCATATGCTTCCAGGTGTGGATGCACCGCTGCAGGTGCACTTTAATATTAG